CACGCTCTCCCTCCAAGAGATTCTGGTTATAAGTCGTAGTCCTCCACTCACGAATCCGATGGAGTGTTACCAAGGACATGTCTCAAACTTAGCCTAACAAAGTTACAAGTAATAGTACGAAAATCCTGTTTATGATTTACATGAATCCTTTATAAGATAATACATATTATAACATGATTCACAAGTTTCTTGCTTTAGATTTGAAAACTGTTTCTACGAGTGGATTTCTTAATCGATTGGTAAAACGGTTTTCTAAGTTAAAAGCATACTGAACATAACATCATTCTATGCAAAATGAGATAATTTGAGCACAAGTTTCCTTGTACTTTTGCTTGTATTCCCCCCTGAAAACATTAAAAACTCGGAAAAAGCGTAGGGGTATGAACTCACCGTTTGACGGATGATTCACGCGGATGATCGGTTACGAGTGTTGAGTGTCAATTGAGGTTTCGTACGCAAGTGGATCCTATTAACATGTGATAACACATATGTGTGTTATAATTAGGGTGTTTCATGGCTAAACATGATGGAAAACCACCCTAAAGACTTGGAAATGCTCGTCGGGACCCTATATGATCAAACAAGGGAGGTGTACGGCCATTTGAGTGGGTGTGCGGCCAGGCTGTGTGTGCGGTTGCACACAGGAGTGTGCGGCCGTACAGAGGGTGTGTGCGGCCGTATACAGGAGTGTGCGGCCGTACACTCCTCATTTGTGCCCGAAATGTCGATTTTGAGGTGTTCTTGTGCTAATACCAAGTCCTCCTAGTGAATGAAGGCCAAACTCTTCACTTTGGAGAGTTTTAAGGTGTGTACGACCACCTTATGAAGGTGTGCGGTCGTACACCTTCAAAGGATGAAGAACATGAAGAACACTATGAGTTTTAGGCTTAGATTCAGGTGTCTTACCAATATAACAAGCTGAAAGATGAAGTAGTTCACGTTTTTGAGGCCTTTTGAGTGTTCTTGGATGAAGTTTTTAGAGAGAGAAAGTAGTGAGAGAAAGTAGAGTGCAGCCAAAGGAAAGAAATGAGTGAAAGGGGGTCTCTTTTATATATATTAGGGGGAATGTGCGGCTGGAGGATGGGTGTGCGGCCGTACACACCTCTCAGGAGGGTGTAAGGCCCGGTTTTGTCTCTATACGACTTGTTGACTCATTTCTAATCTCATTCCCGACTGTACTCAAGCGCAAAACACTTAAACTAACTCTTAAACGGTGTTAAAAGATGATAAAATCGAGTTTAATATTGATATACGGATCAAGTGCACAGGATAAAAGTTTCGGGTTGTCACAGAGGTGCACGATCACGCCTTCGCCTTCCCGCGTTCATCAGGAGTACCTGTTGGGCCATGTGTTGGGATTTGGCCCATTACTTGACTTTTGGGCCTTTAGAGTGTGAGTTGGACCTTGGGCTTGGAACCCAATTATTAATTGGGTGTTGTTTGATGTTGACAGCTCGGGAATCTGTCAACCACCAGCTGGAGTTTTATCCGCGGGACTCCAGCAGTGCCAGGTGAGTTCTCCTCACTATATCAACAGGGTCTAAGGCACCAAATGACGACCCTTATCGGATTTGTATCCGGGTTTATTGCATGATATGCTTATTGATTTAGATCCTGGTAATTATGATGGTGATATTCTTAGTGACCTGGTAGGTCGGTATCCTGGTTTATAGGATTATGCTATGTTAGTGATCTGTTAGATCGGTATCTTGATTATAGGATGAATGTTATGTTATTGATTGGTTAGATCTGTATCCCGGTTATAGGATGTTCTTATGATTATTGATCTGTTAGATCGGTATCCTGGTTATAGGATGTTGTTATGGTTATTGAACTGTTAGATCGGTTGACTGTTATATATGCTAGTGTATGATATTTATGTGTACACGTTTGTTTGATTTGGGGTTGGTTTGAGGCGGTCCTGCTTTGTGCTGAAGGCCAACATACCCAGGGCGGTCCGGATAAACTGAAGGCCCTGCAAAGGGATTCAGTCAGGCCGAAGGCCCGAGGAGCGGTCCGGATAAGCTGTAGGCCCTGCGAAGCGGTCCAGACGTGCCGAAGGCTCGGAGAACGGTCCAGATAGACTAAAGGCCTGCGAGGCGGTCCAGTCAGGTTGACGGCTCATTATGCATGCTGTTTTGTATTTGTTATATGATATGGTTATATTTGCATGGCATTGGTATTTTGGGGGAGCTCATTAAGCATCGGACTTACAGTTGTTGATTATGTTTCAGGTACTCCTGATGAACGCGGGAAGGCAAAGGCGTGATCGTGCACCTCCTTATATTTTCATGATTGGATTCTGGGGATATTCTGATGCTTAAACCATTTTGAAAACAAATTGTAATAACTTAATGGTTTTAAATGTTTTAAAAAGTTTTAAATTGGCTTGAATTTTATGGGTGTTACACAACCAATTAACATGTGAGATTGTTGCGTACAACATTAAATGAGAACCATAGAACATCTGTAGAAGTATTAAGTTTAATCATGATTATGCACTCTCACTGTTACATACATACAGGACAATGAAATCATTGATATTTGGTTTTGGTTCTTCGTGTCTGTGTAAGCATATGTTGTTACTAGCTTAGCCAACAAACTCCTCCAATTTGAATAAAGTTTAGTAAAACTCAAATCTATCACATTCAACATAATAAAGTTTTTTTCCATGTAATCATGTTTCTATGCTTATCACAAATTGCAATTCATGAGTCCAAATCCAATTTCAACATTTATTTGAATAATTTCGAAAATTCAACTTACTACAGTTTGGTTATTACCTCAACAATTTGAAGGATAATAGGACTTTTGGGTTACCAAATGTGAGAAAAATCACGAACCCCTTATATTATTTATGTGCTCCGATTCTTCATCCCTTTTCTCTGGTTCGGTTCGCACTCGGCAGAAAATAAAGAGATCTTGAAGGTCTACCCTTCTTTCCAGATTTTAGACATAACCACTAGGGGTGAGCATGGTGCGGTTTTTACACCAAACCGAAACTTAAAACGAAATTGCGGTTTTTATATTCATGTAAGCGATAGGTGCGGTTTTTGTTGCGGTACTGTTTTGCGGTTTTGGTTTTTTTTTTAGGTTTCGGTTATTAACTGAAATATAGAAATGGTGTGGTTTTATTTGGATGGTGCGGTTATTTTTATGTCCAACCACAACTTTCAGCTTTTGACTATTCATTATTTACTTTATTAAGTTTGACTTTCTTATATGACAACTAGCACTAGAAACAACATACAACAGTAGGTCATAAGCATCAATTCATATTATATTAATATATTCCCTTTAATTTTGTTGAAGTTACAACTTGCCAACTTGAACTTGCATCCAAAAGATAATAAAATAGATATAAACACACGATCCAACCACATTTTGAAATTAATAAATTCATTTTAATTCATAACCATTAATTCATCAACGTCTCGGTTTAAACTTCATACAACATAATGTCTGTCAAAGTTCAAACTTCATCAAAAAGCATAAACATTTTTTTATCACCAACAATAAAACATATAAAATAAACCACCATTAATCATAATCTCCTTGATCCATGGATGATTTTTTATTTTTTCAATCTACATAAATAAATATAAATCTTAGATTATTAGTATATAAATCACTAGTAATTATAATCATAATATGAAATCATAACATATGGAAAAAACCCTACTCATTTTTAATCTTGCCATCTTCTCATTAAATTCATCAACTTCTTTACTCTTCATAGAATAAACAAGCTCAAGATCTACCAATGAACACCTTATCCAATCTTGTGCACAAATTAGAACTTCCGCGGTGTCGGGGTTAAGTGAACTCCTATACTTATCAATGGCTCTGACACCTGTACTAAAGGCTGACTCTGATGCAACTGTCGATATCGGCATAGCCAAAATATGCCTAGTTGAGGTAGACAACATAGGGAATTTTATTGAATTTATTTTCCACCATCCCAAAGGATCAAGCTTTATGTCCCTTTTTTCCCTTCCATTCGCTAGATAAATCTCCACCTCACTCTTAATATCTTGACCCTCATGATCAAATTTGTCAAATTCTAGCTCCAAATCAATATCCATCTCACCAAAGCTACTTAAATTTTCACCAACAAAATTATCATGTGTGTTTTGTACATTCGCTTTTTCCACTTTGCCCTTAATGGTTAAACAAATCTCCAAGACTCTTAGTCACCAATCCCAATATCTTTTTGCTTTTCTCACTACCCTTACCATAGATCAATTTAATGCAATAAGTAACGTATCCAAGCTTGTTGTGCGGATCCATGACAACTGCAATATAAAGTAGATAATTCACATTATCTACGTTATCCCAATATTTTTCATACTTTGCTTTCATCGATATGGCCATCTTCTTCTTTTGGTCAACTTGACTCTAGGTCATCTTAGTGATGGTGGCTTGCATTTTTACAAACACAGAAAAAAAAATATAAGTGGTTTCGAACTAGACATCTTAGTTGTAACACCAGAAAATATCTTCAAGTACTTGATCAAATTCCTATTTTAAATGCCAATATCAATATGTAAGTATTAAAATGATATATACAAAGTAATAACTAAAAGAATTAAACATAACTAGATGTTTAGCCTTACTTTAGCCAATCAACTGTTTCCAACATCACTTGGAGCACCAACTACTTTAGCCTTACTTTTCCTTGTTCTTGTGCTCACGTCCACATCGTCATCTACCTCGGTGCGAAAATAAGCCCCGTATGAAGGGTCTATCATATAAAACCTATTGAGAAAATTAAACAAGCACTCGATGTTAGTTAAAGGAAAAAATAAAATAAATATAAAACAAATAAACATACCTTTCAAACGCATTCTCATAAAGTACGACTGTTTCCAACATCAAATATGTTGAATTCCATCTCATGTCAACATCAAGAGATGACGTTTGATTGGATTTTACATCAACATGAGCAACACAATCTTCAAATGTTTTATACCAAACCGGTGATGATCGTACGTACGTCACTACATTTTGAATTCTAGTAGCAGAATCGAATTTCTATTCCAAACCATCTCTAACGACAAGATTGATGATATTTGCATAACAACGAAGGTGAAAATATTTACAATCTGATTCGGTCCCTTCAACATCCTCTTCAAAAATCTTATAGCCCTGTCATTTGAAGATGCATCATCCACTGTCACAGTAAACACAATTTCAATCCCCCACCTTTGTATGCACTCATAAACCAAAGTCCCAATGGTTTCACCCCTATGATTCTCTATAGGGCAAAAGTTTAAAATTTTCTTTTGTAAAACCCATGCATCGTATATCCAAAGAGCCATAAGATACATATAATTCACGTTCCGAATAGATGACCATGTGTCCATAGTTAGGCACGTTGTTTGGCCTTTCAACATCTCTTTAACTTTTTTTGCTTCTTGTTCATAAATCTCTATACAGTCTCGAGCTACAGTCCATCTAGATGTCATCTTAAACCCCAGATTCAATTCCCACACAAATTCCTTAAAACCCTCATCATCAACAATGCTAAACGGTCGATTGTCTTTAGTGCACATTTCGGCAAGGGCCAATCTATACTTCTCCTGGCTAAGAAATGCTTAGCCAAAGGCCCATCCGCCTTGGTACCTTTTGGCTAAAAGCTTAATTTTGTTTGTTCATTTGCATCTTTGTCTTTACCTTCATAAAGGGGTTTGCGCCTACAAGAATTAATTAGATGATTGAGTAATGAGGAGGTACCATTCTCTCTGGTGCCACAAGCTAAAATCTTTTTACAATGTGTGCATTCTGATTTTTGTGCGTCTTTAACATATGGAAAATGCTGCCATACAATGAACTGTAACTTAGGTTTTTAGATTATTTTCTTCTTCAATATCACCTTCACCTGGGATTTGAAGTCCATCATCTTGTTGATCATCGACATTCATTACACCTTCATTACTAGCCATGTTGAAATACATATTACGTTAGTACTCAATAAGGTGAAAACATGGTGAGTTGCAAACAGCTAAAAACAATGAGATAAAATGTTTTTATACAATTATCAAGTGGAATTGAAACTCAAAACAGGTGAAAACATAGTGAGTTGGTGAAAACTGTAGTAGTATTATGCATCTGGAGAATTTGCTGTAGTAGTATTATTAAAACTTAATTAAAACTAGATCATCTTGCAATTGAAGGACGATTCAACAACTCTGTATTTTCTCAAATACTTGTAGATTGACAGAGGATACAATATTACATCTCCCCATACTTTATTAATGACCTTGAGATAAATTACTGAATATATTCGAAGTGTTGGTCGCATATAAAAAGATATCTTCAAACAAAGATATAACCCCATTGTTGGAAAACATTTAAGAGTTAGGTGGTCCTTTGTTGATTATTGTTGAAAATGCTATAGCATATAAGGTCTAAGCATAGTCAACTAGAAGAACAGAAGAGGAAATTGAAAAAACTACAAGAATGGTCAAATCCAAGTATGAGATTAAGTCGAATGCAGTTTACAGTTTACCTGAGACGAAGAGGAAGATTGCTTTAGTTTTCTGGTCACCGGATTCGACAGTGCCTTCCAGTCCCCGATGAAGGAAATCGTTGGCTGCTCAAGTCGATGCTCGATGGTTGCTTCAGTGGTTCGATCGTTGGCTGCTCAAGTCGCCGGTAAACGGAGGCAAAGGCTGTTTAGAACACAAAACTCGAATGAAGGAAATCGTGTGAAAGAACTGGTAACGAGACTTTTCTTTTCGGGATTTGTATTTTTATTAAAAATATAAAATATATATTCAGTTAATAATAATATTTTAATATTGCGGTGCGGTTCAGTTATTTTGCGGTTTTTTGAAATATAAAACCGCGTCGCACCGAAAAGTTGCGGTTTTTTGAATTTCTAAAACCGCACCATCGGTTATATGTTCGGTTTCGGTTTTTCCGTATCGGTTTTTCTGGTTGTTTTCCGGTTTTTTGGTTTTTTCTCAACCCTAATAAGCACACAAGGAAACCAATGTTTTCTTCTCTTTTGTTAACATTCCATCGACGCTCACAAGAAAAGAAAATAAGGTGCTCCCAAATTCCAATTTTGATCCTATCATTTAACCTATGTTCACATTAAGCCCTTTATCTTCTATTTATTTTCAAAATTACCCAAAAACAATAAGTAAATGATTTTTCCCTTTATTTTCAAATTGGTAATAGTTCAAAATACCCTTCTACATTATCACCTAATTATTCAACATACATATCATTTTGAATAAATGAATAATTAATTAACTTCATTTTTCTATTAGTTTACATTTAATAAACTTCGAGTTATTAATTTCTAGTTTTGCCCAACAACATGCCTTAAAATTCTTATATACTTGATTGTCTGGTGTTTTATATAACATTTGGGATGTTGCCCGATGTCTTCAAGAATACCACCCATCCACGACCTCAGTTAGTGTAAGCTATGGCGTTCACTCCATGTTCCAAGACATAATTCGTAGAAGCTAAGTCTTGAAGTGTATTATAAAATTTGGGATGTTACCCAATCACTTCAACAATACCACGTATCCACGACCTAAGCTAGTGAAAGTCTATGAGCTTCGCTCCATATTCAAATACATAATTCGTAGAAGCTAGGTCATGAAGCCCAACAATAATCTCATTTTGAAGTTGAGAACGAGATGGAGCCACAACACTAGGGGGATGCAAATCATGCTTCAGACAAAAAAGATCCCTATATAAACGAATACCGTACTCAACACATGATACATGAAAATAGTCGAGCAACTAATAAATCTAGGGAACTATAACACATTGTTTGGAAACTAATATAAAAACCCAATCCAAATCCATCTCAAGAGAAGCCAAATGATCAGAAAGTTGCTTCTTCTCGACATAATAAAACTTAACTCTGTTAATCATCTAAAACTTTTCAGTCAAGACATCAGCAAAGCGTTGCTCCTTGATGACATATTTAAGCTCGAATTCTCGAATCCCATCCACGACAGCCTCCGATTTTGATTACAAAACCTCACAAAATCCTGAGCCCATTCAGCTTCCACACTTGCTAATTGGAACCCCTCTAAGGACTCCTTCAAATTTTCCACTTATACCGCTACGACGAAATCGATGAGTAATATACCCCTCCAACCGAGAAACACACTCTACTTGGTTGCTCGCCTCTACAAACACATATACCGAAAATAACCACACCAATGTAGTTAACAAAAATGCGTTTAACAAATTAGCAAAGCCACCACTAGTAGATAAAAAGATATCACCTACAGATAGGGGTGAGGACAATGCGGTTCGGTGCAATTATTGACCAAACCAAACCGCAACTACAATTATTTCATTTTTTGAACTGAATGGTGTGGTTATGTTGTTTTTCTTATGCAGTTTGTAGTTTGGTATTTGACTATGTGGATTTGGTGCGATTTTCTTTCTGTTATTTTTTGTGTTGTTATTTGCCATGTGGATTTGGTTCTTTTAATTTGCGGTTTTAAGAGTTTAAAACTGTTAGTAATTAATGACATAAAAACTTCAAATTTCAATAACTTACTTAAAAACACTATCAGACTAACAAGTAAACAAGCAAAATCATTACATACACAAAAACTAAAAATTCATTAAATATTAGAGAATAGAAACAAAGATATAAGATGTTAGTTATGTGGTAGCAAATAGTTCAATCTCTTTTTGTTGAGCATCATTAGATGATCTTTTACCCTCTCAAAGTGTATCCACATAACATTTTTTTTGATAATATTAAAATCACAGTATGTGTGTGTGAAATTAAGGCCAAAAATATCGACAATTTTCCTAATTGTATAATATCGGACCAAGGAACAGTTTTTAGTTCACTATATTTTGTTCAATGTACGAATGAGAAACAAATTTTATTGTCTACTATTTTAGAAATTTGATTTTTTTTTCGGGAGTGAAACGGAGAGTATTGTATTTAACGTTATATCTTGGCTTTTCTTATAAAACTGCGTCAAGCTCTTTCTCCTACAAGTATAAGCTTATATCATCAAATAATATACATGCACTACAAGAAATTAGAGTATTACCGGCGACAGGCGTCGTCGCTAAAAGTGGGGTTTGTCGCCGCTAATAGTATTAGCGGCGACGTGTCGTCGCTAAAACATCGACGCTGATGTTTTGTCGCTATTAATCAAACTGTCGCCACTAATTCTTGTTGTCGTCGCTAAAGACTTGTCGCCGCTAATAAGCTCATGTCGCCGCTAAAGACCCGTCACCGGTAATAACCTATTGTCGCCACTAAAGGCGTCGCCGGTATTTGTGTTTTTCTTTTATGATATATAGATAGATATATATATATATAGTATATAGATATATATATATATATATATATATATAGATAGATATATATATAGATATATATATATATATATATATATATATTTCACATTAAAATTGAAAAAAAAACTGGTATGATATTAAATAATCTAATCCTACATCATTCCATTCCAAAATATAATACACATCCGTTTAAAATACTCGTCCGATTTAACATATAACAAAATATCGAAAATACTAGTCTAAAATACTTGCACAAACAAAACATAAAAAAAAAATCCTACAACTATCTACTCGTCATCATCGCTCTCCTCGTTTCCTCCGGTTTCATTTCGTTGTGGCAACGAACGAAGCCAATCTTCAAGTGCAGCACTACATGCCGGATCTTTTAACATTGTTCGAAGCATTTCCAACTACAAATAAAACAACATACTCTTATAAGTTAAACTAGCATTATAACATTCTATATACAAAATATACATTCCACATATTGCATATAAAACATTATAGCATTGTACTATAACTAACAATTACCAACCTACAAAATACCATTACAACATTGTACTTTCATAATCTAACAATTACCAAGCTATAAAATACCAATATATCAAACTATAACCAAACTAACAATTACCAATATATAAACTATTATCAAACTAACAATTACCAAATTTTGAAACTATTACTAAACCAACAATTACCAACATTTTAAACAATTACCAAAATTAAATAGTCTTGTCACCTGTGATTGTGGTGGTGGCTGTGTCAGTGGTTGTTCCTGATCGTACATCGACACAACCGTAGAAGGTTTATGCCTAATGCCTCTGATATGGCCACGTCGAACACCCAATATTTTTTCAAAACAATTTTGTGTATCCTTTGGTGTTAGACCGCTGGCTTCAGAAGAAGCTTGAGTTTTTTTACTGATCTCAAAGAATAAAGCATTCTGTATTTTCAAAAAATAATAAATATAATAAAAATGAGATTACTAACTACCCCTTGATGATATAAGCACTTATATGAAAATACAAATTAACCACTTACGTATTGTTGCTCGACTGCAGGACTACTAAATACCCCTTGGCGATCAGTATTGGCCTTACGAAATGCTTCGATTCGAGCGATGTCCTATTTTACATTAAAAATTAGTTTAATTATAATTTAAATAAACAGTTAAATATATCATAGCTTACTTCTTTGAAACATGCATTGCTATACGAGCACGATCCCCCTCTGTTTGCAACTTATTGTCGTGCACGGACTCCTTTGTTTGACGCCAAGCAATAGCGGCGACATGTAACGCGTCAATTACATGTCGCTGCTATTGCTAACATTTCTTGTAGTGATGGTATTCCAAACAAGTTAAAATTCACATTTTATACAACCGGGACAAGTGGCTCGGTCTCGCACGTTGCAAAATGGCATGTTATCCGTGGTTTACAAAAATATGTTAACAAATAGAACGATGTAACTTGACTTCAAAATGCTCATAGGCAACTTGCAAGTTCAAAGAATGTCTTCCTCTGTCAAATGTAATAAGTCCAGGAATGAATAACAGCTTAACAATGACATTGGAATCACAAAACGCTTCTTTTCTTGCTCTCCAACATAAACTGCAAAATACCCTTTTGGTAGATCCATTGATGTTGTGCGGGTCCCATTTGACGAAGACCATTGGAGTATTTGTCTAGCTTGAAAGATCCAAGGCATACGAATAACCATTTTTCTGAAGGGTTATCATAGGAACAAAACAATTTGAGAGTATTCTGAAAGGTTATCAGGACGAGTTCGAGAGGAAATTATGCCGGTGCTTTTGCCTATCATATTCTATATATAAAGGTTTATTGGAAAATGAAATGTAAAATAAGTGAGAAAAAGGAAATTAAATGTCAGATGGGGACTTTGCAACATGAAGGCAAGATCATGTGCTGTGTCTTCTAACTTGTATAAAAGTATGATCTTGAATAGCACAACCACAAAATCACAGGCAATAATATGTATTAATCATGTACTTGTGTATAGAAAAAGAATTAAAAAAGAATATAACTTGTATCACCAGTATTCTGAATTAAGGTGGGTATGAAAATCAGTAGAAGCATCATGGTCCAATGTAATATTAAGAGGAATGTGGTAATGCCTCCTAACAAGCAAGAAATTGTGGCTAAGTGCTCTGGGGTTTTCTTGAAACATATGTGGCCCTATCATTAATAGGTGAGTTAGACATTGGATCTGTCTTACAGATTGGAAGACAAAGCCATGTGAGTTTGCCTTTTCTTCCACCATATGTCACCATCCTCAATCAAGATCTCCTTGAATCTCTGTATATAAAAACCATTCGATATGAATCACACAACCACAACTTCCTCTGAAATCCTTGCCAACTTTTCACCAAGAAGACGTGCATGTTGTGAGAGTATCCATCCTCAATCAGGCTTTTGAATTGAACAGAAACTACCATCCTTAAAAATGGTCATCCTTTTTCCTTGGATCATTCAAGCAAAACAAATTCTCAGAAGATCATTATCCAACAGAAGCAGCACAACCAAATCTATGGAAACCCCAAAAGGCTATTTAGCAATTTATGTTGGTGAGCAAGAGAAGAAGCGGTTTGTGGTTCCTGTATGGTTGTTAAGCCAACCTGCATTTCAAGAACTACTAGATCTGGCAGAGCATGAATTTGGGTGTGTTCATCAAATGGGTGGCCTCACAATTCCATGCAGTGAATATACATTTAGTGATATTGTCAGTGATATTGCTTCTCAGTTGGGCGCATTATGACTTCTATACAATGTTCTTACAACCAACTAACCACTAGGTTTTTTATTATTATTTGTAATTAAATCGTGACAATTTTCCCACTTGTAAGAAATCAGATCAAGGAAGAGTTTTGAGTTCACTATAATTTGTTAAGTGTATGTAGTTAACGAATATATTTTAGAAATGTGAATTTTGGGAGTGAAATGGAGTTAACGAAGATAGTTCCTTTTGTTCATGACCTATCATCCAAAACATAATTTGTAAACAATATGTAGCACTTGGGTCCATGACCATATGATAGTTCTTTAACCAACCTAAAATATAAGTTGGCAAAACATTGATGCATTACAAGACGAATTGGGTTCCACTTGAAAACAATTCCATCGCATGAAAAACGAACATGGTGGTTAGATATACAAAGAGAATTATAGCAATGTTTAACTATTATTTTGACTACTTATACGGCCAAAAATCATGTAAATTAAATCCACTGAATCATGTTGTTAAACCTAAGCAATTTCCTTATCACAACTAATTAATATGTGAAATTGTTAGCATACGACATTAACCGAGCATTGTAGAGCATCTATAGAAGTATTATGTTTAATCATGATTATGCACTTTGACCATTACATACAAGACAATGAAAAAAACACTGATATTTGATTTTGGTTACTCATATCGGTGTAAGCATATGTTGTTATTAGCTTATACAACAAACTCCTCCAATTTGAATAAAGTTTAGTAAAACTCAAATATGTCCCATTCAAGATATTCAAGCTTTTGCCATGCAATCATGTTTCTAAGCTCATCATAAATAGAAATTCATCAGTCCAAATCCAATTTCAACATTTATTTGAATAATTTCAAAAATGCAACTTACTACAGTTTGGTTATTACCTCAACAATTTGTCAAATTGAAGGACAATAGGAATTTTGGGTTACCAAATGTGAGAAATCACACACCCCTTATATGATTTATGTGCTTGAATTTTTCTTCCCCTTTCTCTAGTTCGGTTCGCACTCAGCAAAAAACAAAGGAATCTTGAAGGTCTCCCCTTCTTTCCATATTGTAGACATAACCACGTACACACAAGGAAGCCGACGTTTTCTTTTCATTTGTTAACATTCTATCGAAGCTCACAAGAAAAGCAAATAAGTTGGTCCCCAATTCAATCTTTGATCCCATCATTTAAGTATTATACACTCATAAATATGTATTGGATAGTGATAGGAGATGGTAGATAGGAGATGATAAGCATGTGATGCTAGATCGGTAATGATAAATAGAAATGATAAATAGGAGATGATTAGGAGATGCCCTGACCTTGACTTGTGATGTTGCGATGTAGTCATCTACCAGAGTATAGATAGTGACCACTAACAAATGTAAATGTCACACCCCCAAACCAGAACGGCGGAAACATTCGGGGGCGGAGGACGTCATGTACAGTATCATAACAAATGAATAATTAAGAAAGTACACACGACCATCATATACAAAATTGAAAAGTTTACATGATTGTAGTAATACATGTTTGCAAAAGTCAATTACATTATGATGTCCAAAAGATTAAACTAACGCCTGAGCGTAAGTCTTTAAAAGCAGTTGCTAACCTGGTTTAGCGATTTCCTAAGAATACAAGTTATTTCAAAGAAAAAGTGTCAACATTTAAGTTGGTGAGTTCATAAGCTGTTATTTGTGTAGATAAATTTTATTTGAAAAGTCCGCGTTTGTTTCCAGAAAATCCGATATTTTCTTAAGAATGATGTTGTAAATTGTTATTGTACAAAATGAATGTATTTGAACCAGGAAAATCCTATATTTTTCTAAAAGTGAGGTGTAGTCTTATATGAACCAAGACCATGAATGTAAGTAAATATGCCATACATATAATGAATGTATATAGTTTTATCATTAAGTAAAACTAGTTGTGGAAGTGTTTATCCTGAATTCTGAACATGCTGATAATACCCTATAATATAGTTATTACCCCCCCCCCCCCCGAGCATGATTGAGTTATGTATTACTACGTGCATGAGTAATTGTTTCCGCGTGTTGTGAGTTCCTCATAACCATACTAGACGCAGTACCTAATGTTGACATTTGTCACCCCGGGGACTGTAGCTAACAGTCAGGGTGCGAAGTCGTCAGCCCCATATAAATCTATACACACTTGTCACGCTCTCCCTCCAAGAGACTCTGGTTATATGTGGGGACTTTCGTTTGGTACAAACAAAGCCATATGACATCACATGATTGCTAACAACGATGTTCACGAGTAATATGATGAAAATATTTTGACAATTCGAGATAACAATTAAGTCACGTATGCAAAAGTGTGTTTGTTTATGTCTAAAATGATTACCCTTTCTACAGTGTTAACAAAGGCATAATAACAAATTGTGATTTGTCAAATACACGTAATGTTATAGTTGAAATGGTTACCCTTGATATGATGTAGTATGAAAATGTATAAATAAAACATATTTCATTTATAAAACATATTGTATCCCCGGAGGGTAAGTTGTGTTGTGAGGTGTTTTGCATGATAATAACTTCATAAGATAGTTAAAACAACAGTATGAAAAGTATAGCAAAAGATCGATGTTTCACACGATTTTAGCCGTGTGTTTACTTGTATTCCCCCCCCCCCCCTTAAAAGTGTTTAAAAACATTTAAAAAGTATTTGAAAACGTAGTGATAGGGGTATGAACTCACTTGGTTGAAGTGGCGGTTTGAAGAAGATGAGACAAGAATCGAGCAGAACTTCGACTGGAAAAAGATGATTTCTCGGGATTCTTGGGAGCGTAAAACTTCCTTCGGAACTTAGATATGAAAACCGAGAATTCGGGATGGCTTCGAGGGGTTAAACGCAGAGCAACAGCACGGGAATGAGAAGAATTGAGCAGTTATGCCTGGAACCCTCGCATCCTATTTATAGGAGGCTGAACCGCCTCCGTACGTTGGGCGCACTCACCCCAGGTACGCTGGGCGTAGTGGGTCGTCAGCGCTTACGTCACGAGCCTCTGATGGTCGATCGGAGGTCTGCTGGCCGAAGGGACAAGGCCCTTATCGCCTGGTACGCGGGGCGTAATGTGAATTTCCAAACTACTAAATTACGTAACTCTCGCGTACGAGCTCTGTTTTTGACGTTGTTTATATCCACGCGTAGGTGAGACTGTACTCTACAACTTTCGTTTAGACTCCGTTGGCTAGTTTTGAGTTTATCTTTAATAATATATTTTTAACAGGCCGGGACTGGAAAAGTCCGTTAAAAATCCATAACTTCTTCATCTGACGTCCATTTTCGTCTGTCTTTTTACCGTTCTATTACTATTGATGAGATCTTCGATTCTCGTTTAGGTCGTGTTGGCTAAAAGTTGCTCGATCTCTATTTCGAGTTTTTAGCTGTCTACTGCTATGTCTGAAACTTCGAAAAATCATAGCTTCTTCATATGAAGTCAGATTTGGGCGTTCTTTTTATGTACGTTTACGGTTTTGGGATATATATGACTTTCGTTTAGATACCTAAGGTTAAAAAGCATTTTATTGGAATTTCGCGTTTTCTGCTTAACAGTGTTTTACCGGTATTATCGCGGATCTTCGATTAGTCATAACTTCTTCGTTATAACTCGGATTTTAGTGTTCCTTATATATTTGGAAACCTTGTACGATATCTACCACATAGTATACTAAATTATGGTTACTGAACAACTTTATTTTTGACCTAATTTTTGCTGGTGTTACACTAAACAAGTCATGTGGAAATACTGGTAGGCTCATAACCTGTAGGTGATGAATTACGAGTTCAGGCGATGTAGTAACTATGTATTCATGCGATGAGACTCTAACCTCTATTGGACACGTATTGGGGGAGTAATCTTCGAAACATTATTGTCTATGCGATGTAAGAGATGATCCTTAGGAAAAGTCCTTAGCAATAAATATATATATATATAATATATATATATATATATATATATATATATATATATATATATATATATATATATATATATATATATATATATATAAGGAAATGTGATGTAGGCGATGATAAGTAAACACGATGTAGGTAATGACCCTTTGATAAATCCTTAAGGAATAATGAATAAAGAAAACGGGGATGTGTACTCGGGTTAATTGTTTGACATGAAATATAAACAAATTAACTACATTATTGTGGGTTGAAAACCCTATGTATCTCACCAGGTTTCCCAATCTGACCCAGTCAGTTTATTTGAATCACATATTATTAAATAAAGATACATGGATAATGATGTATGAGAGATTCAAGGAGATGTAAACCGTTAGCATATTGTGACATTGTAAGCCTTCATTTATGATTATGTTTTGTATTAGTTATGACTTCTAAAGATTTATAAAGTAATGAAAAATATTTATGCGGAAATACTTTTACAAGACCAAATTTTGCATTTATTAAATAGACTCTATTTTAAATGAACCGTAAAAAAAGTTTTAGAATGGTCGTAAATTTGGGGATGACACACAATAGATCTAGTACATGTTGATATGGAGTCTTCAGATCCACCACAAAGGACGATAAGTCTATTCATTATGATCTTTTGAGGTTTCAGTAAATATTGTTGTGGTTAAAAGATTAAGTATAATTATGATACTTTTAAAATATTCAAAGAGTAGCAGAACGAAAGAAGAATCTATTAGGCAGAAAGATAAAGGTTTCTTCAATCTGAAAGAAAATAAGAGTAATTTAGTATCATGTTTTATTGTCATGTTAATGAGTGTGGATTGATATCACAATTGATACTCAAAGAAAATCTTAATACAATTGTATGACTAAGAAGAGGAATCATATATTGTCAGAAATAGATCGATCAAGAGATGAATTATACTTCATTCCAAATCAAGTTGTAGAGTCATGATCTAGTAACTATGAATCATATCGTGAAACTCATTTCAAACTAAGAAGTTTGAAAGCGCCTCAAAATATGTGGATTAAAAATGTTTTCTTGCTCTAGCACATATAGAATTGGAG